AAATAAACAAAATGAAAAATTATGATTAGATGAATGTGGTTTTCACGGTTTGTACAAATTGGGTGGTTTTTATTTGAACGTTCCTCTATAGAGAGGGAGAGAGAAAGAGAGAGAGAGAGAGAGAGAGAGAGAGAGAGGAGCGATCAATTGCAAACCACCCTTATTTGTGAAAACCCTACAAAGCAATCTCATCCATCCATTTTCTTGATCAATGGTCAATATTAAATAGTGTTATATTAGGAAATTAAAAAAAAGTTTAATTTTTAATTAAAAAAGGGCAAAATCGGTAAATCACCCATATGAACCTGTTTCACTGTATGAAACTGTATTTCATCACTGTATGCAACTATTTCACTATATGAATCAGGTTCTCTGTATTAATCTGTATTTCTTAAGTAGATGAACATGTATTTCTTCATTATATGAATTTGTTTCATATTATGAAACTGTATTAATCTGTCATCTTCATTGTATGCAACTATTTCATTGTTTCACCGTTTTATATTTAAAAACAATTGATTTACACCTTCCATATAAACGATTTATATATTTACGTTTCCATATTTAAAAATAATTAAATCATTTCCAATATTATATTTAAAAACAATTTACACCTTACATATAAACGGTTTCTATATTTACGTTTTCATATTTAAAAATAATTAAATCATTTCTAATATTATATTTAAAAACAATTTTTACACGTTTCATATAAACGGTTTCTATATTTACGTTTCCATATTTAAAAATAATTAAATCATTTTCAATATTAACCATTATACAATAAAATAACAATTATACACTTATTAAAATTAAAGAATAAAAAACAGAAATTTCCTATTGGGCGAGAGTGGTTTGCATAGTTTTCACAAATCAAACGGTTATAATATTGGTTTCCATATTTAAAAATAATTTCCTATTGGTTTGCATAGTTTTCACGAATCAAACGGTTTCTATATTTACGGTTTGGAATGAAATGACCATATATATCATACACGATTTGGGTTTATTATGAGCTTTAAACCATAAACTAATATAATTAAAGATCTGAATGGAATATGGAAGTTCTAAATCATAATTGAAAGTAGTTTGATAAATCTTGACAAGAATGGTGTCACGTCAGTGAAAGTTATGTACGAGTCCACGATATTACTTAACAAACTGTTTTTTAAAATTAATCACCCAAATGCATTTCAGTAACCACCAAATGAAAAAGATCAATACAACATGGGTTAACTTTTTTCAAACAAAACGACATAATCAAACCGTCCAAACCGCCACTAACAACCGAGTTTGGCTTTGTTGGACCATTTTTTTGTAGTTCAGTGGTTTTTCTTTAATATCCATAGTCAAAGTATATCATGTAAACCGTATGATATTCTTTCGAGAAAAGAAATCTTCAATAATTCACTAACATATTAAATCAACCAAGTTTTAATGAGTTATTTACCAATATCTATACTATATTATAAAACATTTGACAAAAACTCTTAAAAACCACTTTTTATGTATATTAATGCATATTACTTAAAACTCAAAACTGCAATTGAGTTCTAACTAACTGCAGATAAACATAATCAATACATGATAAACATCTCATTTTAAATATAAAAAATCTAAAATTTAATTAGAATAATCATTGAGTTCTAACAGAATACTTAATTATTATCTTTATAAGATGTTATATTATTAAACCAAAAACAAATTATTTCGTTATTAAACTTAAATTAAATTATAATAAAAAAAATATAAATTAAAAAAATTACATAAAAATGAGAACTTTTAAATAGTTGATTTGATATTAACATTGATATATATTTTTTCAAAATTTTGTAATATCTTCAAATTTATATTTTATTCAAAAATAAAATCATTATTGTTTTCTTAAAAACACATAAAATCGTATTATAATATCGACATAGACAAATAATAAAATAAAACATTAAAATCGAGATGTGTCTCGATGCATTGCGCGAATACTCTTTAATAACATTAAAACATCGATTTTACAAACCTAATAATTTGCATAACCTAACTTTCATTTGTTGTTTCACACGAAACAGTACTTATACAATGTCATTTCATATATAAAAAGTTCATGATTATTTTATGTGTAAAAAGTAACAATTATGGACGGTTGGCATAAATATTATATTGTTTTATATATGAAATAAGATATAAAAAATCAATTTATAAGTTAAATAAAAGAAAAAGAGGAGTGTGTGAGTAAGTGGTAGGTCTTGTAATATGATCCAAATTAAGTTAGTCAAAAGAGAGTTAAATTAAGCTTTGACTTGGTGCCTAAAATTATTCAATGACCCCAAACGCCACCTCTCCTTTCCCTTTCTACATTCAATTTTAATTTATTATTTGTCAAATAATAAATTAAAATTAAAATTAAAATTAAAATTAAAATTAAAATTGAATAAATAATAAGTCGTTTTAAAACCCTCGTTGATAAGTTGTGTCCACATAACAAACAAATACAACTTGCGTAACTACTTTATACAAACCAAGACCATACATACATACATGCATGCATACGATTTGACATCATGCTGACATCATATATTTAAAGTTCAAATCACAAACCAAACTCCACAAAATAAGTATGGAATAGTTTTTGCAACTTGTATTTAACACACACTATTGGCTTCGTTGAAACTAAGGGGCCGTTTACTAAACGCTTACCAGGTCAATTATTTTACTGGATAAACATGACAAGGATGAAGAATTTAACCTGGTAAAAACGATGATAAGAATGAAGAGTTTTATATGGTAAGTGAGGATGCCAACTCTTATCGGGTAAATTCTTGCTTACGATATCGTTTCAATAGACTAATATTTTACCCGATAAAATAAGTTGGAATGTTAATTCTTATTGATAAGTACTCATAAGCGTTTGGATAAATTACCCCTAAGTAGAGTTTTAATGTAAATCTACTTTGTTGATCAACAGACAAATCGAGTTTTTAGTATTTAAAACAAATCTATTTGGGCCAGGTTTTATTCTTTATGAAGTAACAGGGTTAATACTTTTTTGGTGCAAGCGGTTGTACAGTTCAATGAACACTCTTAATTCTAGAGATGGCCAAAATTCAGTCTCATGCTAATCTAGTCTAGTCCTCGACCAAAAGTCTCAACTCTCAAGACTGACCCTAGGCCTAGAAATTTGTCCCGGTCCCAAATCGGTCTTGGACCTGGCCCAGGTGTTTTTAAATATTATATTCTAATTTTTTTTTAAACAAAAATACTATATATGTTGAAATTAAGCATTGAAATACACTCCAAATATTAACATTTTACTTGAAAAAATAATTAATTACTTGTATTATAATTGGGTTAAATACATGAAATAGCAACTTACTTTCATAAATTTTTTTATTATAGCATTCTAATTTTGTTTTTCTTTATTACAGCAATGTACTTTCAAATTATTTTTTATTAAGACATTTGTACTTTAAAAAATCTACCCATAATAGCAATGGGTAGCTTGTTATCTTTTAAACCGGTTAACTCTTTGACTTTTTTGTTTGTGTGGCTTTAATGAGATGATGTGGATGACACATCATTTTGATGACTTAACTAAAATTAAAATAAAAATCATTTCAAATTATTATTAGTAATTTTCATTTTTCATTGTTAGATCTAAAAAACATTTAATTTTTTTTACTTTTTCTTATTAAGTTGCATGCAAATTAAATATTCTTAGAGTAAAATATTTATTAAATAAATATGAAACACTATTTTCGAGATATATTTTGTTTGTAAAAAAAATAACTTTTCCTATTTTATGTTGTTCAAATAAATACGTATCTTTTAAAGTTTTTTTAAAATAATAACGAAATAAATTGTTATCTAATTTTTTTTAATATTGTTATATTAATAATTCAAAAAAATCTAATTAATTTAATATATTTATACGTTAAGTAATTTTTTTTTGAACAAATATAATATATATTCTTTAAAAGATAATATTTTTTGGTAAAAAAGAAACAATTCTGATTTTCCTTTTTTTCAAAAAACACATATTTTTTGAAAAATATTAACGAGATAAGTTGTGTTCTGCTAGTTTTATTGATATTGGTATATTAATGAATAATTTATAATTTTTTTATTCATTTAATACATTTATTAAATAACATGTAAAATATCTAAATATTAAAATTAAAAATACAGTTTTTAATAAGAACTAATAGATGCTATAATAATTATTTTTTTGAAAGTACATGATGTAGTAAGAAAATTACATCACTATAGTACATGTGGACAACCTACGTGGACAATGAGGTGGCATGAAAACCTAGTATAATGGGTAAATTTAAATCAAAAKGTTACCCAATGCTATAATGGGTAAATTTTTCAAAGTACAATTTCCTAATAAAAAATAGTTTGAAAGCACATTGTTGTAATAAAAGCTGTCATGTAAAGTTGAGTCGAGTTGGGCGAATGAAAGCATGAGTCGTTCAGGAGAGACAAAGACGCTTCCTGTAAAGTTGTCCTGTCTGTTTGTGTATTCCCATTATCTAAAGAACACCTTTATGGAACTGAGCCAATTTAGGATTCGGGTGCTTGGAACTTGAAAACTCGCGGGACAAATTCAAACTTTTGACATAATGCAACCAAAGACCATCTCTACTACTACCAGGAGTAAAGGTCAAAGGGTCAAACTTTTTGGTGGGAACCGAAACAGAAATGTGGATCATGAATCATACACTTGATCAAGGTGGGAACCTAACCTTGGACTGCACATGTTCCACCCTCATCCTATTTGCCTAATTTCCATCTTTTCTTTTCTTTTCTTCTTCAATCACACAACTCCTAATCAATCATAACTACTCCTTGCAAATTCAATTCCGACGTAAGAGACAGGGGAACACAGAAGCCAGAATTCGTATACTTAACAAGTATGTGATTCATAGACTTTGGGGTTCATAACAACCATTCTGGGACATGGTTCCAAGATCTAAATGGGTGTGCATGAGACGAGAAAGAAGACTGCCTAACACCCGGACATTAATTGGAATAAACAAGGCTCAGAATTACAATATCGAGTAGGAAAACTAACAGAGGCAAAGTGCAAGGACAGTTTTTGCAATTTTCCCATCATTTAATCTCATGTGACTAAGGTTTATTTTATGCCTTGCTTGCTCTCATGGTAACAGATACAACCTAAAACCTCAAGAGGAGAAGAATGAGTTTTGCCAGCTACCAGCTTCTCTGTTAACTTAATCCTGAAAGAAGGAAAACAACGTGTCACTTTGCCAATCCTCGTAATATTCTTTTTCCCAACGCACTAGCATCATGGATGCCTTCACACACAATATATGGCTACTAGTATTATCACATACTTCTCCCTCACCGGGAAAAATGTAGCGTTTGATTTGACATATGATTCACAAATGCTGGATAACGAGAAAACTTGTGGACCACAATCAAGCGCACAAAGATTGTGTAATGATTGCCATTGGTCAGATAGAGAATTTGGAAAGAAATCTTCCCAAAAAGGAAAACGTGCATGTTCAGGACAAACCTAAATAGAGCTTCAAAAGCTGGATTGAAAAAATATGGCAATAAAATTAATCATATCCCCTGTTTGCTTGCGAAACAGGGTAGTTATTAAACTATCAACTAAATCACTTCAAGATAACAAGACTTAGTAACAAGAAAATCTTGTAATTATGATTCCTTAAAAGCATATGCGTCATAAAGGCGTCATATACGGGTTAAGTATCAAAAATTGCAGTCGAGAGTTGCAAAAGAGAAACACAAAAAAGGGGAAATGTTTATTGTATCTAAGGGCATACAAGCACTCTAACACTGAGCAATTCTAGGACGCAAACATACGAACAAGATTCAGCCTTTAATGTGAAGCAATGTATTACCATAAGAAGATGGTTGTGAATTGTAATATTCATGAGATTTTAGACTCTTAGGCCTTAGCTTCCCACCTCCCTATGCGCACGAAATTGTAAATGTGATATCAAATATCACATAAGGGAAAGATCGCAAAACAAATAGTCCTACATGCTACCATTTGGATCCTTTCACTAAGTGTGCCTTGTCTGTCCCCTGGTGAAATGGCTCATTATAGATGCAGCAAAAGTGTGTTGCTCCCTTTTTTACAGAACACAAATAATTGATGTATATCATATCTCCCTTTTGCATTTGTTTTTTTCACCTCATTTAATAAGAAATATTTGAGTGCAGTGTTTTCTAATACCAAGTCTAGCATTGTCAAAACGTTACCAAAAGAAATAACCGTCTTAAAAGATCCTAAATGATTCCAGCTGTAGTTCTATGCAACACAAGATTATGTTAAAACTACGTATAATATCTCAACACCGACTTTGCCATGTGGGCACTCGGTATTGTACAAAATAGGGCCACAATTACATGTAAATTTTAATATACTTTCCACTTTCAATTCCAGAGGTTCCCCCTATCTCGAAGTTATTGACTTCTTGAACCATCATTATTGGCTTTTGGTTGCGAATTTAACCATCATTCTAGCGAAAATGAGCAAAAAATGTGGTTTTGCAAGAACGAGCAATTTTAGACATATTATGAGCATGTAGATGCAAACTACAACATCATTCATGCAAAACGTTCTTCTTACATTTCCTAAGAACCATGGTTTGTTTGCAAACAAAGATCAAATACAATGGTTTGAAAATTGATAACCCATTCCTTTAGTAGTGTAACCATCAACATCGTCTATGTGTTCAAGTCCATCCTACCCGGTTACCCCCCTGCTAATTCCATGAAAATACCTCTTCTTTGTATCTTTATTTTAGCTTAGGTTACTACAATTGTATAAAAATGTGCACACTTCATTGTATTTTGTAAGCTTTGTTTAAGCTTTTGGTTGATGGATGTCCAATGATGAAGAAATATGTGTGGAAATTCATCATCCACAAAGTCTCATGGAGTCACTTGATTGCAATTCAAAAGTATTATAACATAAGAAGTTTATTGCCTTCTAAAACAAAATAATTGTACACAAATTTTATACCTGTATACTCATTTGTTTGATCATCTTTCATGTGCATAGTGCATACAAATTGTTTCAATTATGTCTCGAACTTATGGCTTAACGAATTGCAACCCTGACAGCATGTTGTAATTCACAACATTAAAAAGCATCCAAATGCAGCAAAAGAAAAAAAAAGACAGTAAATGTCTCACAAATTCAAGTAAGAATGTTAAGCCACGGATTCAAGACCCACAGAGCAATATACTAAAAGGTCGAGCGATGTTACGCATAATTGAAGAACCATTTGGCTACCAATCCTCAGTTGAAACCTGCTGATCTTCACTTTTTTGATCGTCTAGGGTTCCAAACTTCTGCTTGAAAGAATCTTGCCTCTGTAACCACATCATATGCCCCTATATGATATCCACAACTATAATTTTACAGCACTTTCAAAAACAAACAAAAATGGATTCCGTGCGTTTTAAATGATCGAGGGGTGTTGATTAAATCCATTACCTGTAGAGCAGCAGCCCAGCCGATGAGGAAAGAAGCGAACCAGAATCTCCTGTCGTTCAAGAGTTTCTTCAAATCAAAATCCCGAGTTCCCATTCCCCAATTATAAACCCTAAACCCCCAATCTTGCACTTTTTAGAGAAGACATGTGGCAAATCTTTCCACTCAATATATTCGTAAATTTCATGTTAGCGTAAATTACACAATAAACCCTATGGTTTTGCTAATTTGCATTTCAAACCCTTCACATCGTTACATGGTAGAGGGCTTTATCTCTAAATCGATACCGTAATTAACCCCAAAAGTTGCTTAACTCCATCACAACATTTATGCAGTTTGAACAGGAACACCATATATATATATATATATATATATATATATAGGGTATATTCCTTTTATCATCAGTGTTTTTCTGTTTTGTTCACGGTACTGTTGGAGCTTTCCAAACTGATAAAATGATGTTTTTACAGAACGATTGAAAATGCTCTTAATTGGTTCTACAACAACATAAAATGTACATCTATCTATTAATTTCATAGACATTTAGAAACAGAATCGAACTGTAAACTGTATGGAAGATCAGATATCAAACATAAAACAGAAAATTCTACAATAATCTTTTTAAAGCTGCAATAACATCCATAAAAACAACCCCTGAAACATTCACAGTTTCATCTCATTTGATATTTTGTATATGAAAAAAAGACATAGAATTCATGTCAACCACAACTGTTTCATTCTTCAACTCCTGACAGATAAACAGAAAGCTTCTCCCTCAAAACTGAACCATTATGATCATCACCAGCTGCACAAAACGCCGGCCGGTAATTCAAACCAGTCCGATCAGAAAAAACAAGCCCTTCTTGAACTTCATCTTTCATATCGATAAGTATATTATGCAGCGCGCAACAAGTAAGAATGATCTTCGGTAATCGATCTTTGTCAGGCCTCCACATCAGTTTTTGAATGATCTTCCAATTCTCTTTCAGCTTTGCAAAAGCCTTCTGGGCCACCTTTTGTGTTTTCGTCACCATTCGGTTGAATTTTGCTTCAGAATAGCTGAGTTCGTCGCCTTGATATGGAGTTATCAGCCATGGCAGCAATGGGAAGCCGGAGTTTCCAATGATAAACTCCTCTATTTCGGTTCCTTCAGATAGTTCTCTTTTCTTCCCGTTAAATTTCTTCCCTTCTTGGCATAACCTGAAAAAGGTTGATTTTTTATGGATGGTTTCGTCAGTCAGACTTCCGGGCCACCCTGCGACAATATCGCGGAACCTCAGGTCGGCATCGACGATCGCTTGTAACGTCATGGATTGGTTGTTTTCTCGGTCACGCCATACGTTGGATGAACGATCGGCAATGGAGAGACACATCAGGATGTGTGTGGTCTCAATGGCTCCACAACAGTTTGGAAGGCCACTGATTGTTTCCATTTTGCCCTTTACCTCCTCCACCTCGGCTTCAGTTGATGGCCAACGGAGATGGCAGACTGCTCGGACTTCCATGGCATCTGTGAACAATTTGGTTATCTGGGCAACAGTGGTTTGGTTCAGGTTAAGTGACTCTCCGACCAACGATAAAGATTCACCTGACCCTAACCGCCTTAGAGCAACAGCAACCAGATCATATAGGTTCAACGGGTCGCCACTGAGGTCACTGAAGCCTGAAGCTTTCGCCAGCATTTCTTCTTTCACAAGTGAAGAGATATATTCAAATGTTTTCATGGACATTTTGAACATGGATTCAAAGCTTTCTGAATCCGGTATTTCGTATGAACTCCCTGAGAAGTAACACAGATGATGAACAAAAACAATCAAAATGCGTAAATCAACCATACCAAGATCCTAATTACCGAAAATGGTATGATCATATCTAAAGTTTTCGCATAATGGAGATTTTACCATATAGAGACTTGATAGAACATGGTGGTGTGCATACTATCGGTACAAAGATTCAAACCTAATACTACATTTCATCGGTAGCACAAGTAATTCAAGCTCATGATACAAATAAAGCTGGAAATTTATGGTCATAAACAAGAATATAAGTATTGTACTTCCTAAGAATTCGTGATCATGGACTCTAATACGGTATGTTGCTACCATTAAATCATCGTCTTTAAACTGTATCGCGTTCTTATCACAGACTCTGTTAGGTTTCATCTTCCATTTATAGCTAGCATGCTGAAACCTTGGCAACACCGATTAACGAGGGCTCAAATGGTTCAGTTTTTCAAGATTTGCATGGGTTTGGCAGCAAAAGCCGAAAGGAACTCATTAAGGGGATTTGAATTTGGTTTGTAATTCATCAGAACTGAACTCATTTCCCTTAAAATCTAATTCCAAAGGTGTGGCCACATATGGCTGCAGAGCCCCTTTTGGTCCAAATCATGCTCATTGTGAAATTTTCCTCTTTTGTTTTTCCTGAACACTCAACAAACTGATCCAAGACTTGAACTCATGAGCCAAGGGGTTGTAAGGATTCACTGAACCATTGGACCAAACTGGTTCTGAGAGCACAAAACCATGAGAATGTGGTGCACTAGGGTCGAAACATACCTTTCTTGCTAACTTGACAAACAGAAACATCATTGGGCAAACCCAAAACAAATCTTTGAGAGATTTCGAGAAAGGATCTACTGTTGAATCATTCATTGGTAAGGTCATGGGTTCGAGTCCAAGACTTGGTGCACCAGGATGGACCTTTATATCGAGCCCAGGCCCCAGAAAGAACACACATTTAGTCCTTACATCATGTATGTGCTGAACCAATGTTGAAATCTTTTGAAGTCTAGCATGGTTCATGAAAACCAAAATATCTTCATACAGCATCATAAATTCACCAAAAATTTCTGTTAAAAAGTCCAAGTTTGACTTTTTAGTATAAAAAATGTGTTGGTCATTGAAGTCAAAGTTGATGAACTTTGTCACTGTAACATTAATACTTTTTGGAACACATATCATATGAAAAAATATTTAGGGATTACAAAAAGGATTTTTTTGGGTGAATTTCAATTTTGAAGATTACTAGGTTAGAACTTTCAAAATCCATCAAACACTTTGGTCTTAATCAACCAAACATGAAGAACATGAGACTTAATGTAGAACTACAGAACAGAAGTGTATTCTATGGAGCAAATCAGCAACACCATGATTTAAAGATTGATAGATTGAACATAAAAAAGAAACATCAAGAAATCTGGCTGAATGAACACAAAAATCCCCTAAAAACACCATATAAATCATCCCCATAATCACATTCTACACAAATTAACAAGAAACATTGAATCATACCCAGAAACAGCAAAAGGATTATATATATGTATGTGTGTATATATATATATATATTCAAAATAGTTGAAGCAAAAGGAAGATGCGACATACCGTAAAACCTTTGGGAGAAATCATTCCACCAATCGGAAAACGGAGGTGGAGGAAGCGACGGAGTAACGAGGGTGGTGGAAGCAGGAGTATGAGGCTGCTCAGCCCTCCTCCTTGATTTGAACCTTCTTATGGGCCCCATTAAAGGATCAAGAAGAACAAAAGTCAAGATTATTTAAAGAAAAGTCAAAGGAGGTCTCTGTGAAGACGAAAAGGGGTGAGGAATCGAATCGAAGAAGAAAACAGGGGGAAAATGGGGGTTTGGTTGATGAATTTGGAGAGAGCATGCAACGAAGCCTATTTATGAAGATGAAGATCAACAACAACAACAACAACAACAACAATAACAATATCAGATATATATACACAAAGTATGAAGTTCTAAAAACAATGTGCTTCGATACTCTGACAATCTTGCTACACATATGAGAAATCACTAGCCGTATATGGTAATTTTAATCTTTTAATTTTATAATAAATAAATAAATAAAATGATTACTATATCATTATGGTTTTTATTTGTATTTTCAACCACTTTTTTTTATAATTTATTAAAGATAAAGAAATAAAAGTTAAAGTTTTTAAAAACTGCATCTAATTTCAAATTAATTAAAATATTCCAATATTTAATATTTCATAAACTTTAAAAAAAAACACATTCACTTTTTTTCATTTAAATTAAACAAACCAAAATTAATGACACGACCACTTTCTCTATTTTTGGAGAATTTGTTGAAATCAAATTTTATCAAAAAATTTAAATTTTGTGTTTTTTTTTAATGTAGAGAAGTTTGTTAGAAAAATAATTAATGTTTTATATTTTGTATTTTTTTAAATATTATATTTTTTATAAATTTTATTTTAATGTTTTGTTAAATTAAAAACTAGTTTATTTTTTTGAATTTTTTTTTAAAAACAGTCACTGGTTAGTCATAATAATTTCTTCATAGTTTTTTTTAAATGGATAAAAAAAGTCATGATCTTTAAATTATATATATATATATATATATATAGATATAATTAAAATATTTAATAATATAAAAAATTCTCTCTCCATCTTTAGTTTTTTATTTATTTACAAATTTGGAGTTCTTTTTCTTAGAATATCAGAAATTTATTCTCTTTCCTCCTCCATTTTATTTTTAGGAGTTTTTTAATTTTGTAGAATTTTCATTAGGCATGTTCAATGGTTGATATCCATTGGATGTAAGGGGAACCGAACTGATCTAATCATTTATTGGATGTTGGAACCGATCCGATCCAATTAACATGGGATAGCTGAACCAATCCAACCCAATGGATGATTATGTCGGTTCGGTTTCATCCATTGGATATTCATCGGATATCCAATCGATGGGATTGGATTCATCTAGTGGTTAATTCAATCTAATTCTCTAACAATGATACAAATTAATTAATCACTTTAATATGTGTTAAAACCAACATAATGGAAGTTAAAAATTCAAAATCTTACATAAAATAAATTCTGATTTAAACAATTTGAAAATAAATTAATTGGATAATAGTTGGATGGTCATCGGATGATTAATTAGATGTTGAAATTTTCAATTTGATCCGATCCAATTATGATCGATCGGTTCGAATTGGATCAGTCGGTTCCAATTGAATCGGTTGATTTTCTCCACAACCCAAATTTTCACTCTTTCTATTTCTTATATTTTGGAGGAAAAAATTGTAAAAACTCCAAAATATTTTTTCCCTCTATTTTGAGTATTTATTTCACACGCTTTAAATTAACTTTTTAAAAGTTATATCTTTCAATAAATTTTAGGGTTTTTTTTTCACTTTATATAATATTAGTATTTAATTATTAATTTGTAAAAATATTGATATTATTGTAATTACTTTTATATCGTTGTTATTTTTATCATCGTTATTATTATTTTATAGATTTAATCGGCCAACAATCCATTACAAAAATTCAATTTTTTTATAAGTTTATATAAGTTTTTGAAGTTATATTTCTTTTCTAATAATAATAAATCTTTGACAAAATATTTTGATAATATATTTAATTATTATCCAAAAACACAGTTTGACAAATTTTCCTTTTATTTACATTATAAGTATTTTTTCAACATGTATTTTTTAATAATTTTACATTTATCATCTAAAATATATAAAAAAAAAACTTCATTAAAATTGATCATTATATCCGTTATCTTATCAGTCAATAGCTAGTCTGCCGAACAAATGCTATAATTTTTTTTAAAGTATTCATTATTAAAATATATTTTATTACATATATATATATATATATATATATAATTTATAGATAAAACATCATTTTTAAGTCAAATCATGATTTTATATATATGGAAATATAATAGTTGACCATCTTTGGATTATAGTTAATGACGTTCCTTATGTTATTGGCCAATTAAATTTTAAGACATTAATTAAAATAGTCATTTTGAGCATACGATTTTTTAGCTATTAGTCATTTCTCCCCCAAAATAATGAGTCATAGTTCTGTAATTGACAGATAGTTTGCGTAGGAGTCAAAGTGTAAGGAAAAAAAGAAGTTTCTAAACCAGGTCCACAATTACGAAGACCAAATATGTAAATTTGGAAAAACACGTCCCAATTGTCAACATATTTTGCGACCTATCAACTAATTTCTATATTTGGTCCCATACAACAGTACTTTTTTTTTTTACATTTTGACATATCTGTAAATTGCGAACCTGTCTATTATGTACCTATGGTTATTTTCTTTATTAATTTCTCTACAATTATTTTAATTAATTTCTCTTGATTTTTTTAATTTTTAATGTATACGTTAATTAAGTCGATAAATACACAAATAATACAATTATTTCAATATCCATTTTGTTAGTTTCAAACTACAAATCGAGTAATAAATGCATATACTTTAATAAAAAAAAAATGATATTTGACTAAATATATATAAAATAAAATTACATTAAAATAAAATCAACCATGAGGGAAAGAGATAATTGGTATATTTTTGTTTTTATTCAATGTATTTATTTAATTTGTTTTTTAATTCAACATAAATGACGTGGTTTTTATATAATCCAAGTGATTTCTTTATAAATAATAATCACGTCAATTAAAATAATTGGTTAATTGTTAAAACGGTTAACATGATCCTAATTCTCAAAATAGTAATTAAGCAAAAGTTAATTACATGTTGATATAATATCCTTATATAAAAACATTTCATAATTTATTAATTTGTTTTATATATTATTCAGTTATGTAATATATATTATAAAGTACATATCCAATGTATATAATATATACCATTTATTACTTAAAATATATTAGTAATTAGATGTTATTAGAATATATCATATATTACATAATTATAAAAAGCTACTATTCTATCTTCATTTCTCTCTTTTTTAAATATATAATAAAGAAATTTATTAAATTGACATTTTACAGGGTTGGTTTCATCTTTTAGTCATTTTCTCTTCAAGTTTACCAAAATAGTCACAAGTTTGTAATAACCCATGTCCGTAATTCCGAACTCAGCTAAACGACGAGAAAATTTACACTTTCTACCCATGTCTGCAAAAGAAATACATTTTTCACTCAGTTTCACAAAAGTAATTTACATTTCTCAGCCAGGTACGTTAAAAAAATTAAAATTGCCGACATAAAGTTATTTTGGTAAATAAAGGTGGCTAAGAGGTGAAAACAACCGATAAAATGACTATTTCAATTAATTTTCTTATATACTATTCATATATTTAAAAATGTTATATCTTTATAAACACAATATACAAAATATTTATAAATTTTACTAATATAGTATGAAATTATGTAATATATTATGAAATTGTATTAATATTTACTAGAAAGATACTCACGCAATGTAGCGAGATATATCTCGATTTTAATGTTTCGTTTTATTCGGTCTGTAGATGTTTTAATATGGTTTTTATGTGGTTTTGAGAAAAGAATAATGATTTTATTTTTGAATAAAATATAAATTTGAATATATCATAATTTTTTTAAAATAAATATATCAATATTAGTATCAAATTAGTTATTTAAAAGTTATTGTTTATTGTGTGATTTCTTTAATTCATTTTTTATTATAATTTAATTTAGATTTAATAATGAAGTAACTTATTTTTGATTTAATAATTTTTTTATAAGGATAATATTAAATAATCTGTTAGAACTCAATGATTATCCTAATTATATTTTATATTTTTTATATTTAAAATAAAATATTTATCTTGTATTTGACGATGTTTATCTGCAGTTAGTTACACGAATTCAAACATGAAACTTTAATAAGTTGTACATACGCACAATTTACTTGTAATCTTGAATTTTAAGTAATATGCATCAATAAACAGTACTTCATACATAAAAAATTGTTTTTAAGAGTTTTTGTCAAATGCTTTATAATATAGTATAGATAACTAAACGTATATAAAATTTTCACTTGAGCTGTTTAATTCATAACTATTATATAAAAACTTTAGACATCATCTTGTGGGTACTTTAACAAAAAAAAAATTATCAACTGTACGATTGGTTTGAGTTTGGGCTCAAAAGGTCAAAGTATACGAAGGTCTCAAGTTCGAATTCAATGAAAAATAAAAAAAATTTGTGACCACAAATGTTCAAATGCGGTGGTCCCGGGTTACCCACGAAGCAGATGGTCCTGGAATTAGTCGGTTTACATAACGTGTTGAATATCCAGGTTAATAAAAAAAAATATCATATTTATCTTATCAAATATTATACTGACAATTTATTCAGTCATGTCTTATTTGCACTAAAATCAAACAAACTATTAATATAGTCTAATGAAATTTAGCCTCGTCCATATATCAACCGCACCATAAGTACAAAAAATCAAACAATACAATATTTTTATTTTCAATATATTGATCGAACCAAAACTGGTTCAAATAGTAAAATCCCTTTTAGAAGTATTTAAGGGGTAGGTTAAATGCACCTCTATAAAGTCGTTAAATGCACCCCTAAGTCAACATATATTTCTATCTAAGTGTAGTATTTAATGTATTGATTAACATATATTTGTTTCACAATGTGTTTGTTACATATGTATTCGTTTAACAATATGAAACTTATTTACATGTATTTTTTTTGTTTCATAAACAGAGCAAAAATGTTCACATTGTAATCCGAGTACATGTGAAACAATCACATTATGAAACAAATATATGTTAATCACTACATAATATTTTAGCTATCGATGGAAAAAGATAATGTGAAATAACACATGATACACTAGTTCTTAAGGTTATTATAATTTTATAGTTTCTCAAAAGAAGATATCTCCTGTATAAATACACTACATGTTAGGTAAACAATTTATGACATCATATATAGCAATTTCCATAAAATGATCTCCCAAATTAATGCAAAATTTATTTCTACACCTAATTTGAACACAAATTATTGATTATGAGTTGGATTTGCTCATTGAGAATCTCAAAAACACATGTTTTGTCTAAGGAGATAATTAATACTGAAGTCGCAAACTAATTTAATCAGTTATATCAGATATATGGTTATTTGAAAAACCACTTCGAATACTAAGTAAAACTGACAATAAAAAGAATTGTTAATCGAAATGAATGTCATTAATATCTTTTAATAATAGAATTAAATAAATAAATTATAACTAAAGCATTGATCTAAGAAAATATTGTATTTGTTACAATCTCGTGAAGATTTTAGTCGTTTGTTTCACCAACTCATTCGTTTTTCTTTAATTATGTGATCTGGTACTAAAATGACATGAAGATCTGGTGCCAATAAACTCGAATTACGTATACCAAATCATCCATCAGATACCAGGGACTCCAATGTGTATTTATGCAGATGTGTGAGTGCGTCTGTTTGGCCACCGATAATTAATACATCAACGTCATGTACATTTGCAATACTTTTGTATATTAAGTGGGGTTGTATGATCTTTAAGGTGTTTGAAAGAGGTTACATTTGAGAACACTTAAAAGGTTAAGAATGTAAAAACATTTGACAGCTGTACGATTAAATTCATCGATCGACCAGATTCATGGTCGCGTTTTTGTAAATACTTGGGACTTAAGTTGACCAAAAATCACGATTTTTTTTCCAAAATAAATTAGTAGTTAAGAGAGCACGATGAGAAAAACGCATGTGTTTAGGGTTAAAAAAAGACTTGTTTCAGTTAGGTCCGCAACGGGTAGTGAAACACCCTATACTTATTGTTTTTTTTTTAATCTGGCAAAAATTCGGCATGACCCGTTCGAAAAGTCGTGTTTTGCCATTTTTTTAAACCTGTAAACATTTGCAAAAGTAATGATTGCAAAATAACTGACCATACAAAAGTTATGATTACTAAATAGTCTTAATAAAAGACGACTATTTACAAGATATAAAACTTTCATATTTTTCCAAAAAAATACATTTTCCCAAACTAGATTAAGCATCCAAAAGTCCCAAGCATTGCATCATCCTATGAACTTACCTGCTAGCCTTATAATAACCAAGAATGTTGCTAGCACATTCACTTGAACCAGTTCCTGAGACGCACGTCGACAAACAAAACAAATCAGACTACATGCCTGGTGAATTCAAGAGTTTTCACAATACAACATTTCAAGTAATTTATACTATCAAACAAAAATGCATGACTTACATATGCTTGATGTGATGTGTCAAATAAATGTTAAGTCCAACCAAAACATTATAAGTTAACAGTCAATCAATATTTACAAAGTTCTATGAATACCACACAGTATGGGGGTGACCCATAACAACTGGAATCAGTGGAGGAGCACTACCCAGCAGTCTACTTATCCGTTAGGCTAATTTTGGTTAAATCACCATTGCGCAATGTGTCCACCTGACACTATACCTATTAGTCGAGTACCTGGCGCATATATCCATGCACGGTACTCCAATACATTACCAATGGGAGCAACCCATTTACTATAAAGGGAGCGACCCCAATACAAACGCAACAAAGGGGGTGACCCTAAGTCGCCATATCCGGATCTACCATTCTCATTTCAGTGAGTAAATATATAAATCACAATGCCCCATTTATACAACGTAAGATTTTCCTCCTTTGGATACAAAACATGTTTATTTTTTTATTTTTACAAAAATACATATCATCTTTCCAAGTCACCAAAGTATTTCATACATACTTTATCAAAGAAACAATGCATTCTTAATATGTATAAAGTCACTTTGTATAAACATCAATACCTTCATTTCATAACATCATTTAAAATCATGCATTTTCTACTTTAATCACTAAAATACGTCCAAAAAAATAAATTATGTAAAGGTAATTACGTTTGACGGTACCCCATTAAAATCTACTTGAAACTCATCTTAGCCTATTTAGTTGAGATCCCGCCGGTGCCCAACTTGCTTATCCACCGTGCTACCTAAACAATCCACACGCACGGTTCTCACATCAATACAAACATCCTAACAAAAGATTTAGACAACTTACTTATCTTAATATACATACCGACAAGAACCACTCAAAAAATGGACTTGGAACCTTTTCATACATGGGTTTAAAAAAAACAAAACTTTTATTTGAGTCAAAAATGGACAGCTATGCAATTTGACATATTTAGAGCCCTAACTACCTCATGATCAAAACATATTGATTGTAGAAGCCTTCATAACAGTTCCAGATTGATATTACACGTCTAAMTCCGAGTTACGAGTGATTTTATACAATTTTTACAAATTTTCAGCACCAAACTAACTTAGTCCGATGACTTGYTCATWTTTCACCCGAGGCTCTAGGCTCACATTCTAACCTCCAAAATATGCTTATCATACACATTGAGGTTCACACATTCATTTATGCACTCACAACCTAACTAATGCATACATTTTCATATATTGATCAAACCGAACAAAAACTTCTTTTAACTTTGAAAATCCATCAAAACCTATAAGGAACATTGAAATAATCAATGTAACACCTTTATATACCTATCATAACCATATCCACCGAATTTCAATCCATAATTTTGCATATAACGACTCAATTTTTAAAAATTAAGCAAAACAGTTTGACTTTTTGGAAAAAGTCAACTATTTTGAACATAACCTAAAATCTATCAATAAAACATGCTTGAATGGAAATTTTCTTCATCAATCCATCTAATAACATCTTAATGATACCAAGAAACAAACCATAACAAACATCTTAATATTTTTATGAAGATTTCAGAGTCTTAAAGTTCATCATTAAACTTTGACTTTTAAAGATTGTCAAAGATAATAATTTCTCAACTTCCACTCATGATTAAACATCTTAGATGAACTCAAAACTATCCTAAACATGAAGTAAACTTACCCAACAAAATACTTCTACTATCAAGATGTATAACACCCACTTTGTTCCAATCCTTGAAGGATTTTAGGTTCCAATGCAACAAAGTGAAGATATAACACATTGGGACTCAATTGGGGCTAAAAATATACATCATAAAACTAGGTTTCTCAAAGAAATTACACATATACACGGCTGTCCACATGACAGCCGCTAAAACTTGATTTTGAGCCCTAAAACTCCAAAAATCGAATACAATACCAACCTAAACATCAAATACAACAAGAAATAAAGCTAGGACATGAAAAACTTACCTTAATTTGACGATTAGATGAAAAACAAGCAAGGTTGAATCGATTCCATCGGCGTCTTTTTCCTTCTCGGCTTCTCCCGATCCCCTTCTCTACTTCTAGTATTTTTTTTTTTTTTTTTTTAAACCCCTATTTATATTAATACTAAATTAAGGGATGAACATTATAACCCCTAGATTAACACTATAAAACAATTCTACCCCAAACTTTCAAACAACTAAATATTTATCTAACCTTTTAGAATGAGATGTTACAGGTAGAGTAAGGGTTAATCTCCGTTATACCAATCCATTTAAAATAGCGAGTAACGAAACGAGTAATTATTCATATCGATAGCCCACCTACTAAGATAACAGGTAACGAAACGGGTAATGGATAAATGGTAAAAAGATCATTTTGAACTACAATAATATTGTTAAACATCAAGATATAAATAAAATTAAGTTCATAAATATAATCTTTATTTTATATCTAAATTGTTCCAATAAAAACTATGATATTGTTCTAAATATGTTATAATGTGATATTTTACACAATAATATAAAAATCTAAAGACAATATTTATGTTCGTTACATTAATTTTAGCGACCTCATATTGTTTCTCATTTGATTATCCTAATTAACTATTTTAGTTGGTGAATATGAAAAGTAAATTATATATCAATTACTATATGTTATACAACATAAGATAATATTTTAAAAAATATATTAATATTTAACCTCATATGAATAACAATCTCCTTGTGCATATGCATTTTAAATGATTAAGCCTCTAAAGTATTTTTTTTAATAAAAAAATCATTAAATGTTTTCATTTTGAATGATTAAATCACCGAATTATTATTTTTAATGAAATATCATTAAAATTTCTCATTTTAAATGATCAAATCTTTAAACATTTTTGTTAAATAAATAAGCTATGGACAATCTAAAAATCGGTTACCTAGGTATGTAACATTTTTGTTGAATAAATAAACCTTTTCATATGTTTTGATGTATATTTGATTACAACAAATATAACAATTAATCAGTTTCAAGTATATATAAATATGAACTAAACATACAAAACCGTTATACAACAAAAATCAACCATATAAAATAACCAATCAATACTTACACCATTGCTTTCAAGAAATCTTGATCCCTCTATGTCTATGTCCCATTCGACTCCAGATCGCTCACCGTCTCGATATCGATGCTATGCACACTCTCCACATCTGGAATCCGGTCAGGGATGTCGGAAATACCATCCACATCACCACCGCTTCCATTACCAACCTCCTGCAACTGTAGAGCATACTCCAAATTCCACAGAACATCACCCATTGATGGCCTTTCATTCCCGTTTTCACTTAAACATTTCTGAGCAGTTTCACCGTATTTTCTTAACGATTCAAGATTCACAAACCCCATTAAATCTGGATCCATGATCTTCTCTAATTCACCTTTCTTTTGCCAATTCATAGCCCATTCTGCTATATTCACTTGTTCTCTTGGTAAAGTAGGGTTTATGGCTGGCCTGGCACATAGCATTTCTAACATCACCACTCCAAATGAATAAACATCCGATTTTTCGGTTAGTTGTTGTCGGCGAAAGTATTCGGGATCAAGATAACCGAAGCTGCCTTTCACCGCCGTGCTAACATGGGTTTGATTCAAACTTGGACCGAATTTCGACAATCCGAAGTCGGCAACTTTGGCATCAAGATTCTCATCCAACAAGATGTTAGTTGTCTTGACATCGCGGTGGATGATGGTCTCGGCTACACCGGTATGAAGATAATGCAGCCCTTTTGCAGCACCAACGCCTATTTCGAGTCGCTGTTTCCATGTCAATGGGGGGAGGTTAGACCCGTATAGATGTTGTCTCAGGGGTCCGCCGGCCATGTACTCGTAAACAAGGATCATTTCGTTTTGTTCTTCACAATAACCGATTAGGGAGACCAAGTGTCGGTGTCGAAGCTTGGATAGCATCTCGATTTCGGTCTTGAATTCGACTAGACCTTGCTGAGATCGCGGGTTCCCCCTTTTGACGGCAACCACGAGCCCGTTTTCAAGAACGCCTTTGTAGACCTTTCCAAACCCACCTGACCCTAGCAGCAGGCTCTTGTCGAAGTTTCTTGTTGCATCACGAACCTCCGAGAACGATAGGATTTGACTAAGACTGTGGGAAGCCGTGGTGGAACCAAAAGTGTTTGATGAGAATTTCGTTCCAGAATTGCCTACGTACATTGGCAGAGGCGACCATGCTACAGGACCATCATCATCATCATCTTTTGGCTTCTTTTTGTGGCGAAAACACAAGAAAACGGTGAACACTATTAGCACAAGTAAAATAAGCACAAAACCGACGCCTAAACACGAAGAGATCACGATGATCATTCGCATTTTCTTGCTGTCTTTTATCTCATTCGAATCAAGATATGCAGCCAATCTCCCATCAAGACTATCACTAGGATTGCTCATTTTCATGATCTCCAAACCGTTCAAGACCGCGGTTGGTAGATAACCCCCTAAGCGAGAAGGACCAACTTGAACCAAGATTCGATTCGAACCCATTGACACATTGGTGAAGAAATCAACAAAATACGCAGACGATAACCCTTTCGCCCTACTTGAAACATCAAACGATTCGATAGCCGATTGATTGTTTATATAAACATCAAACACCAATTCATGTAATCTCGATCCAACGATATCACAGAAATGCAATCTTATAAAGTAAGCAAAACCTTGTTCTACTTCAAACAGCCACGATATATTGAACCTCTGGTTATTAACATTTGCATCAGCCATTTCTTGAGCAGTGGCATAAACCGAATTTGGAGCAATGTCTGTCGAAACCCCATTGTGGTGTCGAATTGAACTAGGGTTTACAGAAACATTACGAGCAGCAGCTGGATTAACAAGAAAAGATTCATCTGATCCCCATTTTCTCCATAAAGAATCATTAATGGGTGATAAATTTGGACCACCCATGTTAAGCCTGAAAACTGTCTCAAAACCAACATGAGTTGGAAGCTCAAGAACAGACCCCAACGGAATCGAAAGCATTTTTGAGGTAAATTGCTTATCAGGAACAAAAAGGATCTCGATTCCATTAATGAAAGCAATCGAGTTATCCCATGGCAACAATCCCAGAACCAGTTTTCCTGAATTGGAACCAGTGACTTCAATAATATACTCTTTAAAAAGAGGGAAACTGAGATTATCTCTAAAGAATGAAAACTCATGGATCAATGTAATCCCGTTTGCTTCTACAGAAAAAACAGCAGAATTTAGGTCAAATCTGGTGTTATTGACAGGGTAAAAGTGCAATCTTAGCCAATGCCTACCAATTTTGTTGGTAGTAAATGTGTAGATTGAACTGGTAGTGAAAACCCTAGCTGAAGAAAGGATTTTGGGGACACCCATCTCAAAATTAGAAACAATGGTGTGAGAAAGTGGTGAAATGTTGACAAGGGTATTCCCCAAATCAGATTCAAAAACCCTACCATCTTCCATTTCAGTCGGAGTTTTAGCTTCCCCACATGTAATCAAGAAACTGTCCGCATGATGAGTACTTGAAGAACAAATGGCGAATTGGAGATGAAAAGCGCATAAAAAGCTATAAAGAATGGATCTTTTGGAATGAATCATTGTTTGTGATGATCATAAGAAGCAAATATCAGAAATGGTAGAAGAGGGGAGTAGAGAAAAAGAGGGACATTGAAGGGAAGTTCCAGGTGGCAGTAAACATATACTTCTGTTCTGGTTACAAGTTGCATCCCACATGAAGATAAAGAATTGGAGATGAGGATTAAAGACGGCTTATGGGTGGCAGCTGGGAATGCTCTGCACACCTCTTTCAATAGCTTTTATTAACTTCCAATTTTTCTTTATTTTTTATTTAAATAAATCCATATTTTAAAAGTAGAATCTGATATATATATATATATATATATATATATATATATATATATATAGGGGTGAGTTCAAATAAAAACCACTCAATTTGTAAAAACCGTAAAAACCTTATTCAATCAATTATAATTTTTCATTTTTTTTTGTAATTATGAGAGGTTGATCAACCATTTTTATTGTGGAGGGTGTTAATCATGGATAATACCATCTTCATTATTTTAATTTTAGAGAAATACATGAAACAGTTTCATTAAAGTTTCATTAAGTAGTATATGAAACAATTTCATAACCACATATGAAACAACTTCATCAAAAAAAGTATTATATGAAACAATTTCACAAGATTAACAATTTCATGAAAAAAATTCACAAGATTAACAATTTCATGAAAAAATTTCATAAGATTAACGATAGATGAAAATAGTTTTTACAGTTTTTACAAATTAGAGTGATTTTTATTTGATCGCTCATCTATATATATATATATATATATATATATATTCAGCATAAAATAGTGTATTTATTAAAAAGTAATAAAGTTTTGTGAGTCAGATGACAGTTTTGTGTTTGCTTGTAAATTTATTAGTGAAAATCTAGCTTCGACTTCACTGTTGAACCATTCTTTAATTGACCGACAAAAAGTGGGAAAAAAAAAGGATTGTTGGGTTCTGTACTATTTTATATTTATTTCTTAACTTATTTTATTTTATTATTCGATTTTTATTTTTTTAACTTCTATTCAAAGCTATTGTACACAGGAGTCACTTACGTATACTTGATGTTTACTTGATTGAGAATAGAAAAGAGAATATTATTTGGCAAGGGAGGTAACCAGGATTACGAGAAAATGAGAACACCCTTATTACATGTGATAATACGTGTGAGGGGACCCTGTGATATGCGGACGACATGTTCTACGACTTAGGCCGTGCCAAAGGCTGTCTGCGTCTATGATTTAGCATCGCATGTTATGGTCTTGATGGATTATAGTATCATATCAACAATAACCTTATCACATGTGATAATACTCGTAAGGGGGCTTAGTGGTGTAAGGGTTTGCTTGCAACCAAGATCGTATTGAAAATCGTTCGCGTCTCTGATTTAGTATCACATGTGTATCATATGTGATGGATTAATAGTATCACATATGATTGTCTATAGCAAAAAGATGTTCTTACGTTCTCGTAAAATGAAGGTGTTCTCGTTTGAACCCAATATATCTATATATAATAAAGGCATATATTATGAAAATATGCTTATTTTTGACCAACTAAACTTAAGGAGGCTTCATAACACGAAGAAAATGGTATTAGAAAATAAATTAAAAAATAAAAGGAAAAATGATTGAGATTCATTACAAATACTAAAATAAGAAGATGGTTTTTTTTTACTGAGGATTGGAGTTAAGGTTGTTGGGTAGATCCGAGATTGCGTGGAAGTACACTTGTGTTTAATAACACGTGCTTTCTTACTTCCTTTTACAACAATACCGACGTTTTCCAACTAACTATTAAACTACTGCCTATTACAAATACAGTATCATTTATATTATATTATAAAACATTTGATAAAAATTATTATTTTATATTAAGTATTGTTTATTGATATATATTACTTAAAATTCAAGATTACAAGTAAATTATGTGTATTTATAACTTATCAAAACTTTATGTTTGAATTTATGTAACTAACTACAGATAAATATAATCAAATACTATATATGTATCTCATTTTAAATAAAAAAAATCAAAAATATATTTAGGATAATTATTGAATTTTGACAAAATACTAATTATTATCTTGATAAAAAAATATATTATTAAATCAAAAATAAATTGCTTTATTATTAAATTTAAATTAAATTATAATAAAAATTAAATTAAGGAAATCAAGAACTTTTTCGAATTTTTGTGATACTTTCAAATTTATATTTCATTCAAAATATAAAAACATTAACTTTTTTCAATACCATATAAAATCGTATTATAATATCGATGAAGATAGAATAAAATACAACATTAAAATCGAGATGTATATCGCTGCATTACACAAGTATCCTTCTAATATATATATATATATATATATATATATATATAGGGGTCTATTCAAAGGAGAACTGAGTTGTTTGTGGTAACTGTGAGAACCAATATTAACCACAAATCAATAAATAAATTAGGAAATTTATAAATTTGATAGTTTTAAAAATCTTAATGCAAGGATATTTTTGGTATTTTAAAACTCTCCTCTCTCCTCTCTCCTCTCTCCTCTCTTCTCTCTCCGGCCACCGTTCTCCGGCCTTCGGCCACCGTCCTCCGGTGATACCACTATGATATCACTGTGATATCTAAAAATATTGACTCTGTTAAACAAAAGATACATTGTGATACCTAATCATATATAATATGCATAGTGATATCACTGTGTTACATCTTCGATCGACCACACAAACGACATCAATGTGATACCCAAACACATATATGATGCATTGTGATACCATTGTATCACCGGAGGACGGTGGCCGGAGAGAGAAGAGATGAGGGAGGAAAGTTTTAAAATACCAAAAATATCATTGCATTAATATTTTAATTCAAAATTGCCAAAATTATAAATTTCTTAATTTATCTATTGATTTATAGTTAATATTGGTTCTCACAGTTACCACAAATTAATTAGTTTTCATTTGATTAGGCCTCTATATATATATATATATATATATATATATATATAGAGAGAGAGAGAGAGAGAGAGAGAGGATATTTCAAATGCAACCTATCACATTTGTACAACCAATAGAACTGATCAATCAATTGAGATATTTATGAAAATGATAAGAGTTCAATTATTATGATTTGAATATTTATGAAAGATAACTAGAGTTCATTAATTATGATCAATACTTTATATTAGAAAACAATCAAAAATTTTATGATCGCATATTCATCAAAATAAATAAACGGTTGAGATTGAGTTGTAATGGTTGTACAAAGATAAATGATTGCATAATAACTCATTTATCTATTTATATATATACATGGTCTCCTTCTTTTGTTAACCAAACAATTAGTATTAATTTTATTTATCGAGATATTTTTGTCTTTTTTATATATTGATATTACATTTCTCAAATATTTTATTTACTTAATTATTACATTATTTAATTATCTCATTCACTTAATTGTTTCACCTCTGAAATTTATTATTTCACCTATGAACATGTTCAAACTTTTTTAATTATTTCATTCACTTTCTAGTTTCACCTATGAATTTTAAATAAAAATTATTGTTTCATTTTTTAGCTTCACCCATGAACTTTGATTATCTAATTTTACCTATGATCTTTAGATAAAATTACAATTTTACTTTTTGATTCACTTATGAACTTTGATTATCTGTTTTACATGTGAACTTTACACAAAAACCATTGTTTTACTTTTTAATTCTAATTTTATTAAATATTATTATTAATTACTTTCTAAAAATAAAAACAATTTGTTCCAAAATTGCATTCATTGAATATAATTTAATTTGTTTTCTTTTTTTTCTATTAGATTATAACCTCTAATTAGTTACAATCTTTGATTGAAAAAAAATAAAGACATTGATTAACAAAATTAATACTATTTAATTAGTTAACAAATAATTTCATTAAAAAATATTTTAAATATTATTATACAAAATTCCATCAAATTTATTAAAACCAAATCTAGAATTGCTAATTTAAAATAACGATCAAAATGAGTGGGCCCATAAACAAATTAGGGTCAATTTTTGTATGTTGTTTTACTATCTAAATAGTATAAATAGGTGTGTGGTTGTAAATGCCTCTTTTATATAATTCTCAAATCTCTAAATTGTTCCTAAACTCTTGCAAATTTTGTGCCGATGATTTTTGTTGTTATTGCAATAATCTCGCCAACGAAAAGCTCAACGCAAAAAATATATATGCAGTTTTTACTTGCGACAAAAGAAATTCCGTGTTAAGATGACAAAGCAAACGAAGCAATTCACAATATGGTCAAAAGTTTGGTCGGACGAAGTTGGTGATCCAATAAGGATTGTTTTTTATCCATTTCGACAGACATCGTGTCACGGCAAGAGGTTTTTCGTTACTCATACCCGAGCAACAAAATGCTCGTATCTTTGTTCATCTTCGAGTATTTCTTTGATGATATTGAGGAAATCGAATAGATAGTTGTAGATTTTGGTACTGGGGAAACAGAGGTGGGTTAACCGGTTGACTCCGAGAATGTTACCCGATAAGGTAATTTACTCTTGTCGGTAAGTATTTGATAAATGCCCCTGAGGCTGTTTATTAGGAAATGTTGCCAGTCAAAAGCAGGTCATGATAGATAAGAAATAGCATAAAAGTGAGGATGAATACGTAAAAGTGAACCGATTTTATATCCGTTACAAATTTACATTATCATCCTTAAAGAGACGCCCGCTTTTAAAACTGGAATAAAATATAAGATATATATATATATATATATATATATATATATATAAATTGGTACAAAAAGAAGGTATTAGAAGCAGCAGAAGAAGACAAATCCAATCCAAGCAGACACAAACTGCACTCAGCATCCACACATGTTATATCCATCCCATGATCAAATTATAAAAGCAGCTGCCATGGCAAGGAATGCAAGCCAAATAACACAGAAATGGCAGTTTCATCACTTTCATTCTCATCGCCAACCTTATCCAAAAAGGTCAGTCATAAATCTATCTTCATTTTTCATTTGCTCTTTTGGTCAAAACCAACCATTTGATCGATGATCTTTAGGTTGTAAGTTTGATCAAAGAGACACATACAAACAGATTCTAATAGAAAACCAGTAGTGAATTGATATTGTATGAGGATTTGCAGTTGAATCTGCCATTAAAGCCTTGTTCTACATGTTCTTGGCCAAGCATCGTTGCATCCTCGAAAGATTCATCGCTTAGTAAGCTGCTGCTTTGTTTACTTTGTTGCTTGCATCTTCAGACCAATTAGTCTATTGGGTTCATGCAAAATGTGACCTAAAAATATGGAAGTTTTGTGTGGAACAGGAGAAGGAAATTGCAAGAGAAGGTCATTACTCATAGGAGTTGGAGCATCAAGCTTATTGCCTACAAAACTTCTTTTGGCTCAAGGTATCTGTCTATCAACTTGATTCATATTATCCCACTTTATTTCATGTATCATGTATGTTAGTTTTGGAACAGAACCCACAAAATATAAAATAGAAGTAGCTTGTTTCAACCTCTAAACAATCTAATTTTTTGAAATGGACTATATTGCCCTATGTTGTGTCTAGTTGTACTTGTTCAAATAACTAATCGGGTGTTATAGATTCTGAATAATTTAGTGCAGAATGATGAGAGGTTTTTCATCATTTAGTGTAGAATGTAAAATATCAGTATATTAGCGTTCTAAATGGGTGCCTGAATGCCCAAAAAGTTGCTATTTTTACCCTTTCAATTGATAGTTTGTGTTGTTGGAATCCTAAGGCACTTGCATTGTTGATGTACACAGAAAAACCAGCAAACTATGATACATTTGTTGACTTAGAAGATGGTTATTCATATTACTATCCCTCAGATTGGAGGGTACGTTACAGCAAACACCTACGATTTTGATTTTTCCAGTTTAAAAAGTTCAATATTTTGTCAACAAATATGCGCCTTTTTCCAGGAATTTGATTTCAGAGGACATGATTCTGCATTCAAGGATCGATACTTGCAACTACAAAATGTGAGACTTAGCTTCATACCGACCGATAAAACAGATATCCATGACATGGGTCCAATAGAGAAGGTGATGCATCGATCCCATTCCTGTTTCTTCTGGTTTTCCTATGGCTCATCTAAGAGAGTTTCCACTGTTCTTGTTTGTAGGTTGTAGCCAACTTGGTGAAACATGTTTACTCGACACCGACTCAAGTCCCAGATGTGTTCGATATGCAGGAGGTCAGAGCCAAATGAGATCTTGAAAAATCGTCTCTTGTGATGCTTAGAAATGTCTCCCGAATCTTGACTTATGTTCATGCTCTTCTAATCTAATGACTAAAAATGCAGAGGACTACCGATGGTAAAAACTACTATACATTTGAGTACACGCTAACCTCTCCAAACTTCTCCCGAGCAGCTTTTGCAACCATAGCAGTTGGAAATGGTAAGACACCTAGACCTAACTTCAAGAACCAAAAAATACCAACTTTGACTAAAACTCGTTGCAACAGGGAGATATTACACTCTAATTGTTGGAGCAAATGAACGAAGATGGAGAAGAGTAAGAAACCAGCTTAAAGTGGTAGCAGACTCGTTCAAGGTGCTCGATATCTAATTGCAGGACATTGTCAGTATATTCGGTTTTTACAAGTACAATGTACAAAGCATAAAATACTCTTAAAGCAGCATAATTTATCAACCAGATACCATATTCTAAGTGATAGCAGTAAACAAGTGAAGCAGCATAAGCATAACAAGTAAACAAATAGTTTAACGAGCAAAAGAGTCTTTAATCGATCTAAACCTCTTTATATACAAAAGGATTACAATAAATACGTTCAATTTTCTCCTTTTTAAGCCTCATAAACTTCCACAAAATTCGAAAGGATATACAAATGTACGAAACAGTCGGATGACAGTGAAGGAGCAAGATAAACACACAGGTGAAAATGGAAATAACAAGAAAAGAAGGCAAACGAACACCTGAACACTAAATTCTATGATCAACAAATCAATATATCAAGGAGAGACAGCATGCTTCTAACCTGTCAATGCAGCGCCTCCAAAAGAATATGCAATCTGTATCTGAGAGCCCAAATCTACAACCCTGACCCGAAGTTTAAATGCTACATCCACCACCATACCCGCCAACAGCCGCCACCTACCACCGGCTTCGCCTTCCATCCATAAGCGTTTTCAGAAGTGCAGGTGAATAATATGAGTAAATTTAACAAAGCGCATGTATATTCATTCGCTCTACAGTCATGGACTGACGATTGGTCATGAAAAATCACCAAACCCACACATCTACACAAGTCTATGCTGACGTATACCCTTTGCGTAGTGAGGTTGCATTAACCGGCCATACAAACCATTCTTCCCCATTAAAGAATCGTGGGGCCCTTCCTCAACTATCCGACCTCCATTTAGCACAACAATGTTGTCGACATGCCTCATCATGGCAGCTCTATGAGCTATAAGAATGGTTGTTTTGTTTCCCATGACAAGCGTAGCAAGAGCCTCCTGAACCACCCGACTCGACTCAGACTCGATTGATGAGCTTGCCTCATCCAATAATAAAATGGGTGCATTCTTCAACACCACACGAGCGATTGCGATCCTCTGCTTCTGGCCAGGGGTCAAATCCACACCCCTCATTCCCACGTGAGTGTCGTACCCATGAGGCAAATTGCTGATGAAATGGTGAGCATTTGCTATTCTAGCAGCTTCCTTGATCTCAGCCTCACTCGCATTGTGTCTTGCATATATAATATTTTCCTTGATGGTTGTTGAAAAGATGATGGGTTCTTGTTGAACAAGACCAAGGTGATTTCTCAACCATCTCAAGTTGAATTGCTTTAAATCACGGCCATCTAGCATCACTTGACCAGCAACCGGATCATAAAATCTCTCTATCAATGAGATTATAGTGCTTTTTCCGGATCCTGAAACCCCCACAACAGCAACAGTCTGCCCACCAGTGACTTTGAGACTGAAATTACTCAGAACCAGAATCTCTGGGCGAGTTGGATAAGAAAAATCTACATTTTTCAACTCGATACTTCCATAAACATTTGGAGGTTTCAAAGCAGCAGTATCATCCGGCTCAATCTTGGGCACTCTATCTATTATTTCAAAAACTGATATCAGAGACTTCCTCCTTTTGAGAATATAGGGAGCCAAACCAAAAGGCTCTACGAGGGCAAAAGTAGCAAAAGAAAAAACCATGTACTCTTTGAGAGCAGTTGGGAGATCCACATATCCATTCTTAACACAGAGTGCGGTGTACCAGAGGAGAAGGGCGTTGCAGGCAAAAAGAAGAAACTGTGAAAAGCCAAAAGCAAAGCCAATAGCCATGCCATGAAAAAAGCTCTGCATGAATATCTTGCCCAACTGAAATCTGTACAGCTCCATCACTTTGTTACCGGCGCAGAAAGCCACAACAGTGTATATATTTCTAACTGCATCCTCGAGGACCAATGATGCTTTCCTGTGCATATCCTGTATCCCCTTTGAGAATCCAGCTAGCCATAATTTCTGCAAATTTAAAATTAGCAAGTGGAATTCTGTCAGCCTGCTGCTAAAAAGGCGTTTTATTTTTGGCAAAATGTGACAAAGCAACATGGATAACCAAGATTTGATACAAAATGTACTACTCCCGTTAAGTTCCCCACCAAGATCTCGTTGTTAGTTGAGGGAAGAATCCACCCGAATCAGATCATCATTGCCATTTTTAGATTGAACAATTATGATGCAGTATGAAATGGACTTACCATCAAGAATCAACTTGATCATCAGATAATAGATCGTAAAATCATTACCCAAGCCCATTACTAGTTGGGGAATCTTTACAAGACAGAATCCATTCAATTTCCAGAAAAGATTACCAATCCTTTACTTTTCAAGAAATCCACAACACACATAACTTGATATACTAACATAAAAGTATCCATAGTGAATTAAGTGCCATTAACATATAAAAAGAAGTATGAAATACTTGACCATTATATACAGATACATTTTTGAAGATGGTAATCATGTGGTACAATCATGGTTGCTTTGGATGAACATGATTGACATGACAAAATGAATCATGATGGCAGCGGAAACTCCAGAAATATATGCTAGTAGAATTTTTTTGTTTGAAAACATTAATAGTTGTTTAGCTTCAATCTAACCTTACAAGGCTAAACTAATTCTCTAATAGAAATTTCACACGCCATTTGCCTATAGCCATATAATGGAGTATCAACGCATTTTCAATAAATATTGTTGTTAAATACAACACTACCCATAGAGACAAAGGATGGTGCAACCCGGACGTAACTTTTAAGGTTTGTAGCACCTTGTAAGGTTCCCATAGTTCTGTTACAAGGTCAAAGCAGTTTAAAGATCCTATAATGGATTAGGTGCCAACCCATATTAATGGTGCCATTTCAGCATTTATAAGACTTACAAGCATGTGACAAGTAGCATTTATTACTACAGGAGTTTCAACATACATAACTTCACTTCAGTTTAAAATTTGAGGCTTTATTCTAAATATTAATAATTTCCCCCTCCATCTTTCCCCTTCAAGTAACATACATCATCGTCATGCTACTTTTATCTAAATGATTTCAGGGTATTTGGCTAGTAGCCAACCCGATCTTAATCTGAAAGCAGTCAAAACTCTGGACAGACAAGTTAACACCAAAATGATAGAAGGCATGTTATAACCTTTTTAACAGTTAATATATTGAGCAAATATAAAATACTATACTTCCTCCACCCCACAAAAAGGTAGCATACAAAGCAGTTTGCTGTCTAATGTGTGAAGAACAAATGCAAACCTGAGCAATAGCAGAAACAGTAAGAACTGGCAGTGTGGCCAAAGCCACAAGTGCCAATCGCCAATGTAGAATCATCCCTATTAATATTGCCACAATAACGGCTGCACTATCTTGTATGAGTATAGAAAGTCGGTTGCTGAAAGCTGCTCTCACAAATGTTGCATCATTTGCTAATCGCATGGACAAGGTGTCAGCGCTGTTATCTTCTTCATCAAACCATCCAACTTCATTGCGAAGCATTGCTGTGAAAAGAAAACATATTAGATTACACTCCGGTGCACACCATAAGGATTGATCCATATAGGGAAGAATAGTTGCTAAAACGGAAAAACTAACCAGAAAACATCATTCTCCTAACTCGTTCAGTCATTTTCTCCCCCATTATACCGAAGTAAAAGTGCTGCAAAAAGTTTGCTATTACAGTCACAACACCCATGCAGGCAATGATTAAGCACCACTTGTCCACTTCATCTTTTATGTTGTTGTGCTTGTCAATTTCGTTTCTATAATATGCTGTCACTATTAGTGCAATTACATAAGCAAGAAGAGGGTTAAAAGAACCAAATATTGCAGCACCCGTACTTCCTAGAACAGCATACAGCCATTCAGCCAGGCTCAATTCCACAAGTCTCCAAACTGATGGTTCTTTCCTATATTGTTTTTCCTTTTCTGCTTGAACTCTAATTGGCTTGTCAGCAAACTGAGAATTAGGTCGACTAAAGGTTTGTGAATGTGAACGCTCACTTTGAGGATCAGATGTCAACAGTGGTGAAACAGGTGACTCGGGGTTAGAACCATTAGATGTTTGTCGACGGATAGCATGAACATCAAGCTTTGGTAACTCAGGTAATCTCTTTTCAAAACTATCTTGCCTTTTTATTGATGGTTCTTTGTTTGTTCCATCCAAGGACACACCGTTTTCAACCATTTTCTCAGCAGGGCTTGGATTTCTTGGTGATTCATGTGAACCATAAGCAGAATCTTGGGGCCTCGTTGCATGTAAGTTTGAAGCTCGCTGAAGTGATGGTGATTTAGCAAATTTCGGCGAGGATGGTTCTTGGAAGCTTCGACTTTCTGAAGAATCTTTTTCAATTTGGAAAGCTGCAGTCTCATTGTAGGTTCTCACTGGCATCCTACAACAATGCAAACAGATATTTGAAGCATCCATAAATAACCACAAAAGCACAAGAAAGATAACACAAGGAAATCAACAATAACTAAAAGAACACTTGTTACTGGATCTACCTTCTCGGGAGTTTAGCTGCTTCTTCACATCTCAGAAGTTCTGCATATAGCCCATCCGATGCTATTAGCTCATCATGTGTCCCTATCTCCATTAACTGACCATCTTCCATCACAGCTATAAAATCAGCATTCCTTATTAAAGAAAGCCGACGAGCAATTATGATAGTTGACCGGCCTAACATCAGCAGATCCAGAGCCTCCTGAACAGATCTTTCAGCTTCAAAGTCCAGCCCACCAGTGACCTCGTCAAGAAGAAGAATAGATGGGTTTGAAAGCACGGCCCTGGCAACAGAAAGCCTTATTTTCTGTTCTTCTGTCAATGATAAACCAGCCCTGCCTACCTGAAGTACGCAAGTACTTTTTTCTTCAGTTTAAGATAAGAATCAAAAGAGGGAGCCAGCATTATAGTCCTTACAGTTCTACCTGTGTGTCATATCCTTTCTCAAGTGAGGTAATAAATGTATGCGCATGAGCAATTTTCGCAGCATCTTCAATTTGAAGTGAAGTGGCATCTCTGCCATAAGCAATATTGTCCCTGATACTCAAGCTTAGCAAAGCAGGTTCCTGAGTGACCAAGCCAATTTGGCTTCTTAGCCATTCCAATTTCAGGTTTTTGATATTCTCCCCATCCAAAAGAACTTCCCCTGAATAACAATAAATAAAAGAAAGGAAGTAATGTAATGGTGTCCACAAAAGATTAAGATCATTAATAGCTTCGAGGAGTATGCACAGGAAAAGAAACTATACAATGATAAAGCAATTTAATACCTAAAGTAGGGTCATAGAACCGTTCCATAAGCGGTATGATACTACTTTTACCAGAGCCGTTTCTTCCCACAAGTGCCACTGTTTTTTTGGCTGGAACAGTTAGGTAAAACCCACTCAAAATAGGAATTTCAGGACGAGACAAGTAACTGAAGTACACATTTCTAAATTCAATGGTCCCTTGAACAGAAGCAATAGTGTTTCCATCATTATCAACGGTGGAGGATGAACGGCTAATCATCTCGAAAAGTCGATATGCAGCAATTCTCCCTTGCTCAAAGGAATAGAAGTTCGTTGCAGCTTGATTGAGTCCACTGGGTAAACCAAATGGCATTGACAGAAATGTCAGTGTAAAAGGATTATGTATGACAGAAGAAAAGGGAAAAAAGGAAAGCAAGATACTCACAGGCCACTTAAAATGACAGCAAACAGGGCAGTTATAATTTCTCCACCATGAGCATGTCTATGTGTAACCAAAAATCTCCCAACATACAGTTGCAAGGCACAAGAGCAAATTGCAAGTCCATATGTGAATCCAAGGCCAAGTCCTTGCACGAGACTTATCAATATACCATATCTCAGTGTGGCTTGTAGGGAAGCTGCATAAGAATATTTTGCTAATGTTTCATTTGTAAAAGCATATAAGGTCCTCACATACGAAACTGCCTGCAAAATGAAAGTAAAATTTTATATTAAGCAACCAAAACTAATTAACATAATACCAGACTACCAGTTGTCTTTTAGTAAGTCATGTCACAGGAGTAATTGTTCACCAACTTACACCCAAACCAATGTATTCAAAGAACTTGGTTAACAGCAAGTTATTTATATATCATATAAATTAATAGGAAGATTAGACAATGCTCATGTTGCTTTGATACATAGCAAATAAAAATTACCACCATCAATGTCTATAATGTATAATTGTTTGATACTCTCAACTAAATCAAACTATAATTATTGGTAAGAAAAAATGCAAACCCACAATATTGTGAATATGTCAAATATCTAGAGTATGCATCAATGATTAGTCTTTAAGCGGTAAAAGTTGTAAGATTGTCAACTTAAATCCAACTGAGATGGTTGAAATGGTAAATTTCAGTTGTTCCAGATGTTCCAAAAACATACTTATCAGACAACAGTTTATGTTCAGCGTCAAAAAACTAGACAAGGCCTCTAAACTATTCAAAATCTCTTAGCACTTTTCATGCAGCTTTAGCAAACTGTAATAACTGTCAATAACATAAAGTCACTATATTGTGTATTCGATCATATCTATCTTAAAGATCAAGACATGATATTAGTATCTACTTATACAAAGGTATAGAAACACCCAGATGGCAACAAATAACAGGCTTCCCAAGAACGGAGAAAAAATAATAGTTTGGACAAGGGAAAGTTGGAAACTAATTTAGGTGCAAAGAATAATAGTGGTTTGTGATCTCAATGCCCCAACCAAATCTATCAAACTTCACAACTCCCAAATTGCCTCAACCAAATGTAAATATAGATTTAAATTGGTGCCAATATCAAGCATATATTTTATCAAATAGTGAAAGCTCTGTGCATACGAGTAAAGCCAATACATCTTTATAGGTGCAACAGCAGTTACTCACCACAGACCTCTCTGTTTCTAGCTGTACTCTACCCCTTTCCCCTCATTTATTTATTCATTTAATTGCTATATATAATTTTATACGAGTTGGCTATGGTGCACTAAAAAACTATGAAAAAAAACCGCATAAAAAGAAAAGGTAAATGAAGAAGTATCTTGATGCCCAAACTAAACAATATTGGGTGTGAACATTGAGATCAGAAATGAGAATAAAGAACCCGACATTTCACATGGCATCACATATACATATCCTCAACTTCTGGAAATGTTTTATATAGCTTTGGGACCCGTTAGTAGATATTGCGGGTGGGACCCTGCAAGCTTTCAGTCCAATCTTATCAATCAACTATGTGGATTAAAAAATCAGTATAGGTCTAGTATTCAAGACGCACACCAAGTGTCAGGTGAAGGGAGTACATATGTCCCAGCAATACCTACCTACGTGAGAAAACGATTACAAATGTATTCACAATGTCACTTATCTAAAAAACTGTGGTTTTCACTTGACCAAGGGGCCGAGGAAGTAACAGGGGAAATGAAGTTACCTGTTCAGCAACACCTGCTGCTTCAGCATACGCATCTTGAATACTCTCAGCAAGCCTATGAAGAAATATATTTGATATTCCTCCAGCAGCCACAATAAAGGGGCCAGTGGCTAAAGTGATGAGGGCAATTTGCCAACAGTTGATGAATCCAATTGCAAGGCCACCAAAGAATGTAGCCATATTATGAATATAGTTTCCAACCTGCAGCAATAAAATTAATAAGATAAATTTATGCAGTACATACTAATTCCAGTAAGCAAATAATCGTGAAGAAAATGAAAACTTGTTATAGATGAACCTACTTTTTCACTAAGGGCAGACTGGATAAGCAATACATCACTCAGCACTTGGCTGACAATGTCTCCATTGTTCCCATAAGTGTCAAAGAAACTCATATCTTGATTAAGTAGTACTTGCACATATCTTGACCTGATAACAGCAGTCTGCCTTTCTCCGGTAAGAATCCAACATGAAACCTCTGAATGCAAAGGTAATTAGAAATGATAGCTGTAAGGAACATCATCCAATCGAAGGTGAAAATGTAATGAAGCTATTTAGTTAACTATTTACCTATCCAACCAGCAGCAAAAACACCACCAGCAATATAGACAAGGGTGAGAGCAAGCTGCAGAAATCGAGAAACAATATCACTTGATGAAAGAACAATCCAATTGTCTTGCAAAATATGAAGTAACCACAGCTTTAAGAGAAAACATCAATGCTACTAAATACGAATTTATAAAAAATCATTTTGATTGATGTATTATTCTAAGAGTCAAACTAGTTATCCATATAATGGGCTGAAGCATATCCAGACATTGAAAGATACATTTTACAATCTTGAAATACTTATGTGAGTATGGTGGTGAACTTCATCCTTTAATTTGTGTCACATATCTTACAAGTTGCAAAACGAGAACTTTTTAAAATATTTTGCAGAAATTTGAAAGAAAAAATATGGTTAACAACTTAAGCTAGTATTTGAGCAGGGACTAATAGCAGAAAAAGATTCGAAGGACCCCAAACCACAGACAAGTAAAACCTGAAGCCTTCATCAACCAAAAAGCTTTAGCATTTGAACTCTATACAACAAACTATGCACCTTCATGTAATAGTCAATAAAACTTAAGAGCATGAATTTAAGGAGAAACTGGACATAAGTCAACTCTGTGAGACTAGCATGAAAGAATATGAGCATGTGATTCTTTGATTGGACAAAATTGAAAAATAGCCGTTGCATGGCAAATAAAGATGGATAAATTACCCAAAAACCAGTCTGCGAAAAAAAAGTTCTATGGAGAATATTTGACCCGCGGATAGATGGTTCACATGATTGTGGTCAGGTCAATGTATGCTATAGCTCAGACTCTATGCAGACTAGTTAATTAATATCCGAACGTAAACTTAAACCCTATAAATGTCCTGTTAACAGGAGTCATTAGCCAAAAGACAGATATCTACATGTGCATCTGCAACAATTAAAATACAAAAAAGGAAATACAAAGGGGGCCTATCAGTCCTAAGAAACACAAGGGAAGGTGCTTCAAGATCCAAATGCATGTTTCTGAACAAGTTGGATGTCAAATAAAATCACCCCGTATGAATCAATGACAGGCAGCAATGCATCTGAAGTCATTATCATCCATATCAACATTCTGTCTTTCAAGGAGGGGATATTACAAAATGATCAGAGACCTCCCTACACACAAAACAAAATTCTCCTCTTCGCCGCTTACCAACAAGTATGGTACTCATTTCTGGTGTTCCCCCTTAAGATTCTGGCACTAGACAAGTAACTTTTGTTTATTGTGTTCCAACAAACGTGGTTAATGAGGCCACTGTTTTTGCAGAAAAACAAGATCTTTATGCATATCCTTAACTGAATATAAACTTACCCTGCTTTAAGTACCATATCATTGTTCTTTTATACCTTCAACATAGTACTTACAGCTAGCACCAGCAGATGGAGATATGTCTCATGTCTTGACCAAGTCGCAACTATAGCTTATTCTTCTATCCTAGCTAAAGTGTATCTATTTACCATCAATCCCATCCTCAACATCGACAATCAAGAAGAAGCAGATGCATATAAAACAAAAAGGGGGAGAAAAGTAGATGAAGATTAAAACAATAGAAGCCAGCAAAACAATCTCTCGTATAATCTGTACCCACACACAAGTTCGTTTTCGTAACAGGCCAAAACCAAAATAGCAGGCATAAGAGGACAGCAAGAGAAGATCAAGCAGATGACAGATGCTATTACCATGAGTGGAATATGAGCTAAGAAACAGTGTCTATTTACTACCAAGTACCAACATCTGTAAGCATTGAAGTATAGAAACCAAGTTACAGATTTTTATGTCAACAAAGTTCACCATAATTAGTGCTCCCAAGGTTATCCAGACAAGATGAAGATTGATGTATTCTAAATTGATTTCAAGGGGGGTTCTCTGTTCACACACACACACATATGTGAGAAAGAGCCTATGCATATGACAGATTATGTATAAGGAAAAAGTAGCCTACATACTGTGTCAAACAGTAGGCTTCTCTGTACAACAAATGAAACGAATTGTGCTATGCTACCACATTATTGCTTTCTTAGTTGATTAATGCACAAATGTTGAATATCATGCAGGGGCCCCATTATAGAAAGTCCCATGTTTCTTATCTTTCCTGACTCCAATATTTGAAGGGTATATAACATATTAGGCTGATGAAGATCAAAAGTTGATTTTTCCAACTGATTATGAGCCTCACTGCAATCTATCACTACCATGAAGCTAGACAAAGAACTGCCAGAACCAGCAAACATTCTTACTTTCTGATCAACATTACAGCTAGCAATAAGTTAAGTACATTCAATGCAACATCACAATTACACCTACGTACTTCAAAATACCATGATTGAACAAGTTAGAAAGTAGAAGAAACAATGACATAATAAAGCTCACTACAAACATGCTTTGCATTAAAGAGTCAATAATGACAGGGTAACTAATATGACCTATATTCCCTTCTACCACTAGCAGATGCTTGTAATATGCTAGCATTAAACACCATTTTCTGGTCTTAGATAGACCTAGATCTTAAATTTCAGATGCATCATTAACTACCCAATTCCACATAATGTAAAATAATGTTTGCAAATAACTTGTCATCTAATCCCCATAATTGTCATATTTGTTTCTAATCCCCATAATTATAACTTTCCCATGACTAAATTAGTCAGTGGTACTATAAATGTTTTAAGAGAAACATCATGAATAAATCTTGACACATTACCTTTTAGAGCCAGATAATAGTAATTAATACTAAACTAGAGCTTTCCATATGAACTTGAGATATTTGATGACAGCATAACATAACTAGTGATGTTAATCCTCTAGCAATTTGTAAATGGGTGGCTTAATGATCCCTTCATCATGCATATTTGATCACTAAAGCGGATAAAATACCACTATACACTTCCGTCTTCCCAAAAATTCAGCAGAACTGGCTTTTGCTGGTTAATTTCATAGAAATCAATTACTTACTGTTCCAGAATACATTGCTTCCCGTTCTATCCAAAATGTGGCTATATTTTTGCCATGAACACGAAAAATAATATCGTCTTGGTTTTCCATTACCATTTGGCGATTCTAATTACATCGTACCATCATGACATTTCTATTAAAGTTCACCCTGATTGCTCACGGTTTGCTGGGAAGTCTCCATCAATATTGTTTTTGTTCTTTCTTTATGTGATAACAGGAGAAATTACAAGTCAAAACTCAATTGCAACAGCAGAAACAAAAATCATAACTCAAATATAACAACCTAACTAACCAAGTAATTTGCTAATAACTTTAGTATTTAAATCAACTTGCCTCTTTGAACCTATCAAAAAGCAAATCCGCGTTCTCATGATCATGAGCCAGCAACTGAACAATTTTTGCAAAGTAGTGCAAGTAAACCACCAGAGCTGTGCCATGCGCCGCCGCAGCAAGCGATCCAACCACCATAAGCACCCAATCAAGCCTATCAGCACACACAAACAGCTTGGAGAACGGCACAGCGGCCGGAGGCGGCTCGATCTCCTCTGACTCCTCCATTTCCTCCTCCGCTTCCACAGGTAAAGCATCATTACTTGTGTCCATGTAAGGCGACGGAGACTCCGGCGGCTCCGAAACCTCTGACACCGGCGTTAAAGGCTGTATATGTGGTGGGGACCACCCAAACAGCCCTCTCGATACCATCATCTTCAGAAAAATTCACAAACCCTCGAAGCAAAAACCCTTCCTTCACCAAACCAAAATTAAAACTCTCTCAAAACCCTAAAAGCAACCATGAAGATTACAATTGAGATGAAATCGATGGGCCCGATTATGAAAGTATTATTTGGCGAGTAAATTTGTGTTGAAGATTTTCACTTTCCCTCTCTCCAACTCTCTCGCACACGATTCGGGTGTGTGAAAGAAAGCATAAAAGAGAGAACCGGCGTCGTCCGAGTTCGTGACTCGGTCAAATAAGGCGTGAAAGGAGAGAGAGTTGACTCGGAACCGAAGTTTCTTCGGGTTCTTTTTTAATGTAATTTTCCTTTTTCTCCTTCTACTTTGTTCGTTGTGTACAATTGTACATCATCGTACGGCGTCGTTTGTCTTCCTATAAAAATAATGGATAATTGTCAAAAATAACCCTTGAGTTTGCAATTTCTTACATATTGGTCTTAAATGTCATTTTATTGATAAAATCCAAGTTAAGTCATCTGCAGACGTTATCTCTACCTCAAATGGTAAAAAAAGGCTGTTTCCATGAATATTAAAGTTAATCTCATTAATCTCGAACAATCTCAAATGAGATGAGTTGTAATGTTTTGACACATGAAACATCTTACGGGTGAAAGGACCGATTCAATTAAGAATGTTAAATATCATGAGAAGGTAAAAAATAGAGTGTCAAAAAAAATATTTATGTGAAAATTATTCTAAAAGAATCTCAAAATATGTATTTGAAGATACACATGTAAACCGAGATTATATAATTATTCCTATGAGTTTATATATGTATTTTAAAATTACTTTTTTCAATGATTCATATATAAACCTTTTGTAACATTTTGTATTGAATATTGTTACTGGAACCTTCCACTATTTATAGTATAGTATAAAGCACTTGAGTTAAACTCTTAAAAATTATCTTTAATGCATCAGCACTGCTTAATGATGTATATTACTTAAAATTCAATATTACAAATAAATGATGTATGAATATATTTTTTTAAAGGTAAAATGTTTGAATTCATATAATTAATTCATAAACATAATTAAATACAAGATAAATATTTTATTTTAAATATATTTAGAATAATCACTAAGTTTTAATAGAATAATTAACTATAATCTTTATAAAAAAATATTATATTATTAAACTTAAAATAAATTATTTCGTTATTAAAGCTTAAATTACAATAAAAAATTATATTATTAAACTTAATATAAATTACTTCGACATTAAACTTAAATTAAATTATAATAAAAGATTGAACTAAAAAATATACACTTTATACTAATATCGATATATTTTTTTTTAATTTTACGTGGTCTTTAAGTTATATTTTATTTTAATATAAAAGCATTATTGTTTTCTTAAAATCATACAAAACTGTATTATAATATTGACAGAAACAAATAATAAAACAAAAATATAAAATCAAGATACACCGAGTTGCATTGCGTGAATACACTCTTAATAAGTATAAACACATGATGGAAAAAAGTATTCAAGAACAACAAAAACGAAAATGAGATATGGATAGAGCAAGAACATCAAGGGTTAAATTGTAAAAAAAGTTAAAGTTAAGGGTGTATAGTTGCATAATTTCTTTTGTAGTGGAAAAAGGTATTTCCTTCCAGAGGTTTGCAAGTCGTAGGGAGTTTTTGGTAATCACAGAGCTCGAGGACAGCTGTCCGGCGAATAGTGGGTGATGGAATTAACAAAAAGTGGCGTAGGAAACAGGGAAAACTTCCCCATATTTTTTATTTTTTATTTATTTTAATTTTAATTATAATTATAATTAATTTATTAAGGTGGGGGCATGATGATTGAATTTGCCAGTCCATTTCATCTGTTGCATTTGCCCTTTTATGAACCTTTTGTTTCATGACATATCATTCATCCCCTGTTAATAACCCTGCTTTATTTATGTATTTTTGTAATAAAATACTCTAATTTTTTAAAATAATTTATTCAGTTACTGTAAAAATAAAAATTTTAATCAAAAAAAATTCAACGGCGAGTGTGGGTCTGTTTATACGTACATCGATTAATCTCAGGGACTATAAAGAATAGACATAAAAATCCTCAGGGTTTGTTTGGTGTCCAGACATGACAATTGTTCAATGTTTGGTAAGATAAAACTGGACGGAACAGAACAAGTAAAATAACCAATTTACCCCTGATGAATTGTTTATTTTGATTAATTTATTAAATTATAATAGAATAATTATTTTTTATAACAAAATATATTATTTGAAGTTTTCGTCAAAATAATTAAAAGGACATCAAATAAACAGTTTATGTAATTTTCTAGTTTTATTTTTATCTATTTTCTACATTATTTT